TGCAGCTTTCTTTCACTGTCTGTGGAAAACAATTTTCTAGAATACACACCAATGTAATGATTTCCCTTCTCAGTCTCAGCACTGCTACTGCTCTTCACCTGTGCCGATCAAATTACTGTAAGGGATCAACAGAACATAAAAAAAAAAGCCAAATTCTTCTAAGTAGCAGTGATTCCTATGTAAGTAATGCAGAAAAAGCAAGTTACTTCTGTCAAAATATTTTATTTTGAAAAGCATAAGAACAACAGTATTTGTGGCCAGCTTTTTGCAACAAATTGCTTTCCTCCCAAGGCTACACTTCCCTAAAGCAGTTGAGGTGTTTGGTTCCAGGTTAGATCTTGTCAGAACAAACCTGTTCCCACAACCCTTCTTCATTTTTTTTGTAGATGCGAGGTTTCCTGTCAGGAAACAGGGAGCGAGATGGAAAGGGATGTTCTTTTAAAAATGTTAATGTAGATCTAATGTGGGAAACAAAGTGGGGTGGTTCAGCCAGGGGTGATGTGGAAAGATTCTGAAAAACAAGATGGTAGCAATAGCTGCTTGACATTCCAAGTTCTCAATTATTCTGCCTTTTAGTAAGATTATTTCCACCCCCTCACCACCCCCCAAGCAGTACACTGGGAAATGTTCTGACAGACCATACACCTCTCTCTACTCAGCAAGAAGGTAAAAAAAAAAAAAGTCAGTTTCAGGTACCTGTAAAATTTGTTGATCATCTTGTTCCAACCAGAAATCTGCATGTGGGAAAGGCCTCCAGAAATAAGGCCCAATGTGTAGTTGTTCCATCTTTGCATCATAGATGTTGGTCAGCTGTAAGAACACAGGGACAGCCTGGAACAGTGCTTCAGAGACAGCAGTCACCTCAGCTGTGAGGCCTTAAGCTGCAGCCTGTCTCAGACACACTGCCTGCCAGCTCAGCCCCACTTCATTTCTAGTGCATAAAGATTAACCAATTATTCTGACAACTGTAACAATCCCAGAACTAAAAGACACTACTAGGATTATGCCTGTGACCCAAGTCTCTTTACAGAATCATCTTGCCAAAAACTGCAGGACCAGTCACAGCAGCCCATGAGAGCTGCACGCCCCAGACAAGGCTTCCTCAGGAGCTGACTGCTCAGAAGTGGTTTGATCCACACTGCTGTGCTCTGCCTCCACTCTACATCTTTCTCAGTTGATTCATTACTGACAGAACACTCCCAAAGTGATTTTTTCCTCCAAAACACTTCTTTGCCCTTATCTGGTCTCCCCTTCCAGCAAAAACACTCCTTCCCATGTTATTTTTACTCACTGTTGCTCCTGTTAAAATATGGGCTGAACGCAAATCCTCATCCGGCCCTTTTTCTGGGAAGGTTGCAGGGAAAATCTCTGCTGTTTTAACATTCACAGCTGATAGGAAAGAGTTTAAATACAGAAATAAATAATTATTGAAAAATACTTGTTTAAAATTACCATGTCCTCAACACGACCATGTTGCAGGAACATCAGAACCCATCAAACACTATTCTGGCATCTGTCAGTACCACAGAGCCCTTCATCTGTAACACCATATTTATGCACCTATTTTGATGTTGCTTTGGCAGCATTTCAGTATTCCAGCAGAGCATTTTGAGATAAACCCCAGTTACAAAAAAAAAAATTACTAATTTAACTCACCTATTCCATAAATGATTGGAAAGTGAGTATCTTTTTCTTCTCTGTCATTTAGTTCTGTAAGGAAAAAAAAAAAAAGTAAAACTTGCAGGGTTTTGGATTTTTTTTTCTGAACAGCATTAATTTAGTTGTGTCTTATCAGAGAAGTTCAGATCTGATGTTGCATGAAGACAGAAAAATACCAAGGAAGCCAGTAATGACACACTTGGGGCCTGGAGTGGAGCTCTGTTTCTCAACAGTAGGGCTGGCTCCAGCCAACTGTTGTTCCACCTTCTGCAGAGGCAAAGTGCAGGGGAAACAAACCCACAAAATGAAATTCCTACAATGCCAATTTTCAAAGGTCTAAGTCACTAACAGCACTGAAAGGCAAAGATGGTGGAAGTATGACCTGACTGTGATACAAGGAAGAGGAAATCACTTCTTCCTTTATCTGACACCACACATGATGCACTAACTGAATTAGTTTAGGACCTGCAGCGAGGCAGGTCAAAGGTCAGCTGCCTCTTAAGATACCCATAGGTACATAATCTTTTCACAGGACAAAGGTGGTGAAATAGCCTGATAAGGATCATAGATGGTTCTTCTATCATCAGGTGCCTTTCAGCAGCCCTTGGTGAGCAGGGAATCCTCACTGCATTGTCTATTTGACATCACCACACACACAGCCAGCAACAAAACTAAAAATTACAAGTTGTTATGGAGGACTCATGCTGTTCTTTTTTACAGGACAGAGAAAAAAAAAAAAAGCCATGTGTGAAAAGACTTATTTCAGTGGCTAAAGATACTTCAAAACTCATGGAAATGATTTATTACCTGTTACACAGAAAGTCACTAGATGAACGTCATCTGGCTGAAGGTCAAATGCTCCTACAGCAACAAGGACACCAGGAATGTGTAAGACTGACTGGTGACAAAGCAGGTGCTGTACATAGACGAGGGGGCATTACCAGTGCTGCACACTGCAGCACAGCTGGGCAGACATACCTACTGTACTGTTCCTAGGTAAGGCAACAGAGCAGAGAGCATTTGGCAGATCTGCTTTAAACTTAACTTTTAGAAAATTACAGCCACAGCTACTAATGTAATGGTAATTCACAGAGCATGGTCATTTGTAGTAGCAAAAACATGCTAGAAAAGTGTTGTGCCACTTACTCCTTTTACCAACACTGATTTAGCTCTGGAATCACATCAGCTCTGCTTTACTTCATCATATATTTAACATATTTAAATATATTTTCCGAATATTATATTTATATAGTGAGCAACCCCAGTCTGTCTTTAGCTGTATTTTATTTATGCTTTTCACCATCCCAACATCAGAAAAAACCCTTCTTTTTCAAAATTGCAATTGCAATACAGCGCTTTTGTTTCAAATTTTAACTTGCTGTG